TGTCTAATTAGTTGAGATGTCCTACCAAAAGCTCTGCCACATTCATGATATTCATGGGATCCCTCTCCAGTATGCATTATAGAATGTCTAAGAGTTAGGGAAGGTCAGCTGAAAGGCATCCCATGTTGATTATTCATAGTTTTTCTTGGGGATGAGTTCTTTAGACTGTTGAATAAACTTCATTGATAAATTTTCTGAAACTGAAGCATTCTTGTATTCTTGAAATAAATTGTCAAAATGCCGTTCTTTAGATACACTGCTGGGTTTGATTAAATTCTTCTTTTCTGGGACGCCTGGGTGGCTCAGTTGGTTGAGCGGCTGCCTTCGGCTCAGGTCATGATCCCAGCACCCTGGGATCGAGTCCCACATCCGGCTCCTTGCTCGGCAGGGAACCTGCTTCTCCCTCTGCCTCTGCCTGCCTCTCAGCCTACTTGTGGTCTCTCTCTCTCTCTGACAAATAAAAATTAAAAAAAAAAATTAAAAAAAAAATTCTTCTTTTCTCTCTTTTTAAGATACTTTATTTTCAACTTATGTATTTATATTCATAGATGATTCTGGGTGGTAAATTTCTTTTTTATACCATCCTTATCAGATGTGGATATTATGTTATCTTCATTTAATATTTTGTGAAGCTGTCCATTTTGTTTTGATGTGGAATTATTTAACAATTTGGAATAGTTTATTCCTTAATGTTAGATTTAAAGTCAGCTATATAGTCTCCCGGGCTTTGTGTCCATGTCACTTCCATGACAATTATTTCTGCTTCTTGGGTCACTTTTGATTATTTGTATTAGGAAAATATTCATATAGTTCTGTGTAAGGTCTTATATAATTCCTTTAATCTTTTCTCTACCTGGGTTACGTTTTTTTCTCATTTATACTAGTTTTGTTTTCTCAGTCAGGCTTGTGAGGGGTTTGTCTATCATCTTAACCTTTCCTTTCCCTTTGTTTTTCACTAACTTTGGCTTTATTCTCAATGAACTTGAACAATTTGGTTTATTGTATAGAAAAAACTTTATTATACTGTTTTCCCAATTCCTTAAAGCAAAATATTGATTCCTTTCTTTTTGATAATACTACTTTAATAGTACAATCAAGGCCCTAATTTTTCCTGTTATACAGCTTAGCTGTGCACCATTTATTTTGTTGTGTTCTCATTTTGATTATTTTTTTGAAAGATTTATTGATTTATTTGAAAGAGAGAGAAAGAGAGAGACAGTATGCACATGCATGTGCGAGCATCAGGGACAAGGGCAAGGGGAGAGGAAGAGAATCTCAAGAATGCTGCATGCTGAATACAGAGCCTGACTTGGGGCTTAATCCCATGACCCTGAGATCATGACCTGAGCCAAAATCAAGAGTCAGATGCCCAAGTGATTAAGCCACTCAGGCACTCCATGTTTTTTTTTTTAAGAGAGTTGGGGGGAGGCAGAAGGAGAAGCAGGCTCCCCAATGACCAGTGAGCTCATGCGGGGCTCCATCCCAGGGCCCTGTGGTCATGACCTGAGCCGAAGGCAGATACTTAACCAACTGAGCCCCCGAGGTGCCCCTCTTTTATGATCTTCCATTGGCCATATTTTTCTGAATATAACTGAAGTCCCTGGAGGCAGATGGCTGATCCTCATGTGGCCTTGAATTGTTTTTTTTCCAGGCATTTAAGGACTGCTTGTTGAGCAAGTGACCAAAAGCATGTAGATCTCCCTGTCTGCCACTCCTACTTCTATCCCTTTGAACAACTTGCTGAGTTTCCTTCTGTTCACCCACAATTCAGGAGGAATACTGCCGACCTGTCCAGGTTATTGGGGGCACGAAGAAGATACTAAAACCAAGCAGGGGCTCTGATGGTTGTCCAGATTGTTGGCTATCATTAAATGCCAGCTCTGAAGAGTAATACGGTTGCTTCTATGTTGTGATCTAAGGCTCCGGGGAAAGCCAGGTCTCAGTTTGTGAACTGGAGCATTTTCTCCAGCCTTCAAATGACTCATAATTCTACCTCATCCACTTCTGCAAGTGCAGCTGCCTCTCCCCCAGACGTTATGTTTGTACCCTTTTCTAGCAGACAACAGTCCTTGTCCCAGGCTCACCAAAAAAGTCTGAGCATCCCACTCATTCTGACTGTTAGACTTCCTCCCTAACCAATCTCTGCATTTCTATGAGAACTAAGAGTCATTCCACTTGAACCAAAGCACTAGTTCCTTTCAGATTGTCAATCCACGGCTCAGTGTCTACCCCATTCCCTCCCGCAGATCCAGTGCTTTCCACTGAGATATACCATCCCTTAGGGTGCAGATTAGCACCCATATGTAGAAACTGGGAAATCACATATACCCTGTGCTTTAGTTTGCTATCATTGCAGAAACAAAATACCACAAAATTAGTGGTTTGAACGATACAGATTTGTTATTTTACCATCCTGGAGGTCAGAAGTCTATCACTGGCCTGAAATCAAGGTATCTCCAAGACTGTGTTCATTCTGAAGGCTCTAGGAAAGGAGTCCATTTCCTTGCCTTTACCGACCTCTAGAAGCCACTCACATTCCTTGGCTTATGGCCCTGCATCACTCCAACCCCTGCTTTTGTCATCGTATCTTCCTCTCTTACTTGGACACTCCTGTCTCCCTCTTGTACCGACCCTTGTGATGACACTGGGCTTATGGGATAATCCAGGATGATCTCCCTGTTTCCAAATCCTAACATAATCGATCACATCTGCAAAGTCCCTCTGGCCTTGTGAAGTACCATTTTCATAGGTTCTGGGGACTAGCAGTGGACATCTGTGGGGCCGTCACTCTGCCTCCTGTGACCCCCCCCAGGAGATTCAGACACCCTGAGCCCTGATGACAAACTTGTGAATGTAACTGTGGGTGCTGCTGCTATGAATTATGTGTGGGTGGGAAAAGATGGGGAACCACCACCTTAGTATATTCGAATCCTGCATCAACTCGTCCTACTTTAAGGAAAGTGGGAATTCTCCCATTCACTTCAGAGAGGAATTTCTCTGGCCTTCTAAAGCAGCCAACGGGATTTCCAACTTGGTCACTTTCAGTAAGTGACCCCAAACCTCAGGGGCCCTGGCTGAGCTTCTAGGCAAGCTCCCCCTCATCTGTTCACCCTGAGGGGATGATTTCTCCTCTCCTCATTCGCCACCCAACATCATGTAGCCTTGTCCCAGTTCCAGTAGACAACAACGCCTATCACTTCCCTGAGGAAACAGAAAACCCCAGCATCCTTAATGGCCTCATCTCATGGAAGTTACACAGCGTGACTTCTGCCGACGCTATGAATGGAAGCAGTCACAAGCCCAACCAGATTCTAGGACTGGAGGAAAGGCAAAGCATTTGTAGCCATATCTGAAACCAGCACAGATGTGAAAGCAGTTAGCTTACCTCCTTCAGAGACCATCTTCTGGCAACAAATCAGTATATGACATTTCAGGATGAACTGACCTTGTTTGAGGATAAGGTTATGGCCTTCACCAGTGGACACTGGGCATCACGGTGAGGCCACTCCCAAGGTAAACAGACATCCCTGCATCACCAGGACTTGGAAAAGGAGCTGCTGATGTTCTCCATTGAAAACTGCTCTCTCAGAGCGCCTGGGTGGCTCAGTGGGTTGAGGCCTCTGCCTTCGGCTGGGATCATGGCTGGGATTGTGGTCCCAGGGTTCTGGGATCAAGCCCTACATCAGGCTCTCTGCTGAGCGGGGGGCCTGCTTCCTCCTCTCTCTCTGTCTGCTTCTCTGCCTACTTGTGATCTCTGTCAAATAAATAAATAAAATCTTTAAAAAAAAAAAAAAAACTGCTCTCCCCCTCCGGAAAGGTCTCCAGGGGAGAGCGGGCAGCAGGCCCTGGTAAATTCTCCAGCCCCCAGATAGTTCTCTCGAAGATGTGAACGTGTGAATATGTTTAAATGTGATATAGCCGCCCCGAGCGCAGTGCCTGATGCATGAAGGGCAATAGGACAGAGGGTGTGCCATCACCAGTCTCCAAGCACCTGGCCTCCTGACTCTCTTTCTGGAAGAGAAAGGAGTGAGGTACTCTCATTCCAGAAGGCATGACTGTGCCTCATCCTTGTCAGCATGAGCTGACACGCTCTCCAGAGGTGTGCCCAGCAGCATTCAGCCAATGTCTGGTAAGCACAAGTTCAGTATCTGACCCAGAATTTTAAACATGTATTGAAATATTATGCACAACTCAAGAGAGCCGAGGTGGAGCTGTAGAGCAAGGGGTGGGATTGGCTGCAGGTTACAGGCTGTGTGACCTGGATAAAGGCTTTTAATCTGTCCTTTCAGGTAAAATGTGAAATGTGGGCATCGAACACATGCCCTAATGCTGCCAGTTTCCTTAACTTGGTGATGAGCACCCAGCCAGGGTAATTCCTTCCCTTGAAGGAGTCCTGTGGGAAAAGTGGATGTGTAAAGTGAATGAACATTCCCAGGGAGTTCCCACACTGGCCTGGGGTTTCCTTCCCTCTAGGCCTTCAGTGGTTGTTCAAGGCTCCCATTCCCTGAACCTAACATTCCCTGCATATTGATGATGTTCTAAGGATCAGAATGACCCACTCATTTTACTTCATTTGGAATCTTGGGCCAGAGGCACTGCAGCCTTGCACAGAGTCTTCTAGAATTGGTCTGACAATGTTTTGTTTTCGCGCTGTTTACTATAAATATGAAATTATTAATGAAAAGATATTTAATAGGTGAGGAAAACACACAGATTCTATCACAGAAATATATAGTTTATTTATCCTTGTTCTCTTTTAGGCCTTGTCCATATGGATAAATACTTTACCACAAATATAATATCAGTGCACAGACTTTTTGGTACCTGGCTTTTTAAACTTACATTATAAGCATTTTCGAGTTTTACTGTTATCATTTTTTTTTTTAAAGATTTTATTCATTTACGTGACAGAGAGAGATCACAAGTAGGCAGAGAGGCAGGCAGAGAGAGAGAGAGAAGGAAGCAGGCTCCTTGCTGAGCAGAGAGCCCGATGCGGGGCTCGATCCCAGGACCCTGGGATCATGACCTGAGCTGAAGGCAGAGGCTTTAACCCACTGAGCCACCCAGGCGCCCCTACTGTTATCATTTTTAATGACCAAATTGTACCAGCAAATCAAGTGAGTGAAAAATTGAATGTTTTCCCAACCTATATTCAGTAGCAACAACCCCCCACCAGTTTTCTTATTTACTCCTGTGCAGGGCAGTTTCCTTGGTTGTCCTTTGCTTTTAAGATCATCACTCAGTGCTGCTTTCACGTTCGGATCAGGCCCGTTTGTGTAACTTGGCAGGGTCAGGCTGAAGAGGCGACGTCTTCGCCCGGCTCAGCTGGACGGCTGCGAGGCAGGCTGTTTCTTCTTGCATCTCACCCTACTGTGTGTCTTCTGATGCCCGATGAGGTGCGAGCTCTGGGTGAAGGCCTTTCCGCATTTGTTGCACGTGTAGGGGCGCTCCCCAGTGTGCGTCCTCTGGTGCCTGATGAGATGGGAGCTCTGGCGGAAGGCTTTGCCGCAGTCCTGACACTGGTAGGGCTTGGCTCCGGTGTGAGTCCGCAGGTGCTGGGAGATGGCCGAGCGGTCATTGAAGGTCCGCCCGCACTCCGGACACTCAAATGGCCTCTCTCCAGTGTGGATTCTCTGATGCTGTGTGAGGGAGGAGCTCTGAACAAATGCCTTCCCGCAGTCCTGACACACGTACGGCTTCTCTCCTGTGTGGATTTTTTTATGTACAGAGAAATATCTTGGGTTCCGGAACGTTTTGCCACATTCGCTGCATCGGCAGACTTGGCTCCCTTTGTGGATTCTTGTGAATGTGATCTGCTGAGCGCTCCGGCTGAAGGCTCTCCCACAACCACTGTTTTCTCTGGCTTTTTCCCCTTTGCGGTCCTTCTGATGAATTTTTACACCTGGACTACGTGTCACCTTCTTAACCCGTGAGCCACGCTTACGCAAGCGTTTTGTAGGGAGAGTTTTCTGGAGTGAAATATGGCTTGTGCCAAGGCCAGTGTTCGCCCGCGACGAGGAGCTTTTCTGAGGGAGGGTTTCTTCCCCAGTCGGCCCCACCCCCTTCAGTGCTGCGTCTGAGACTTCCTGGGCCTCACCCTGTGAGACATCTCTTGACATAGGGGACCAGGTGTCATCCCTTGAGAATTCTTCCAGTTTCAGGTCATGGGCTGGTTCTTTCTCACGAGTGTCAGACTTCGGAGTTAACTCTTTACTTTCCAGTGTAGTCTCCCACCCTAAAAGAACCCAAAAGGTGTGGATACGGTAAAGAGAAAGTGCTACATGGGCTAGGAGTATGACATAGCTAAGTATTCAAAAGCTGCTTTTTCCCCCCAAGAACAGTCCGATAGTCTGGGGGGACTCTGAAGAGCATGAAGGAGCAAAGAGAAGTACATGAGCTCGGCGGCTGGGGACGGGGCTGGGGACGGGTTTGGAACTGGGAACACTCTCCTGGCTCTCTGACTCCTCTTATGCCTTCAAGGTAGGCAGCAAGTCAGTCCTTCACTGGATCTGAGGCTGCTGCTGCCCACACAGTGCCCAACCCTCCAGGTCCACAGGGCCAGCTGAAGTCACGGATGGTGCACGGAACTTTCCGGGGTGTGCCCAGTTCTCACACTAGGTCCAGAGAAGGCAAGAGCCCCAACCCAGGGCTTCTGGTGTTCCCAGTCCTGGAAGGCTGGAGTGGCCAGCACAGGCAGAGCCTTACCCAAAGAGACCAGGTGTCCAAAGGTTTCCAACATCACGTCATGGTACTCAGTCCTCTGCGTCGGGTCCAGCAGCCCCCACTCTTCCTTGCTGAAGTCCACGGCCACATCCAGGAAGGACACTGGTTCCTGCAATGCCACATTCTGTGTCTGCTGAGCAGTAGGGTCATTGACAGGGACAGAAAGAAGGATGACTGGGGCCTCCCAACAGTCTGCTGAGTGGAGGGTGCCCCTGTTTGCACAGAAATGCTGACTTGAGCCGTAAGAGGCCCAATAAGTCCCTTCTCACAAAATCAGAGTGTGGGGCCCAGGCTGGAGGAAGAGTCCCTGCTTCACTAAGAGCTACAGGTGCTATAAGCAAACTGCCTCCACTCTACCCACCCCTGTGTGCAGCTCACCATTTCCCAACGACTCCCTACAGAAGGTTGCCCCTGAGACAAGCCCCCCGACTAGGTATACCCCCCCAACATGTGGTGGAACTGCCTTTGTGGACTGGGGCTGCTTGAGGGTGGGTAACCAGAGGCTACACTGAGGTCAGTCCTTCTGGGGAGCTAGCAAGAACTCCAGCAGGAAGGGGCCTCCCCATGGCACTGTGCCTATATGTGGGAGGTCTTTTGCCCATGAGGGGCAGAGTCTGCTTGAGAAGGAATGGGAGAAAGCAGAACCATTAGACCAGGACTAGACAGACATACCCCTCTCTCAACACCAGGAAGCCCCTGGATACAGCCTTGCCTGAAGCCTACTCCAGACCACTCGTTATGTGAGAGCCAGTAAGTTTACCTTATGCTTGAACGAGCTGTGAGCCACCTGCATCAGAAAGAGTCCTGACCAATGCCACACACACCATCATTCAGTCGCACTCTCTGAGCTTCAGTAGTTAGCAAGACAGGGACAGTGCTGTTTCACCTATGTCCTGGCTCTGGGATATTTTTGAAGCAAATCCCAGATAATTTTTTCTGTCATAAACACCTAAATATACATTTCTGAAGGACAAGAGCTCTCTTGTTCTCACCCAGATCCAGACATGGTCTGCAAGCCCCTGCCTGGGGCTCCTAAGTGTCTATAAATACTTGGCCCCTCCCTTTTGCCTCCAAATTTTTTGACTTCTAGTCACTGCGCCCTTTCTTGGTCTCCATGGTGGCAGCAAGGCAGTCCAGCCCTTCACAATCAGAAACTCTGAAAGGCCTGGATGGTGGGAGATGAGAGGTGGAAGGGGAGGTCATCTCACAGGCAATGCTCTGACCAGAGAAGGAAGGGGTGGCACTCCCCACTCACCTCGGGTGGTTCCTTCACTGGCCACGTAGTCACTTGCTCCTCCTCCTCTTCCTCAGGAGCAGTGGTCTGGAGAGAGAAGGTGGAGTCCTGGCCGGGTAATGCTGGGAGGAGACATCAGCACAAGTGATCAGCCAGGTTTGGTGCTACTTCCAGGACAGGGCAATGACAGCCATTTCTCTTTCTGGGACCCATGGGGCCAGCACACGTTGTGTATCTTGTTGCTGCTGCTGTCAGGGACATCTGTGCCCATCCTTCTCCTCACCAGCTCAGGTCCCCACGCTGGCTCCTCTTCACAGCCTGTGCCCAAATCCCCACACCTGGATCATTCAGGATGCATCACCCCATATGACTATAGGGCCCTGGTGTCCCCACTGCTGAGACCCCTGATCTCACTCCTTCCCTCTCCAGACACTGTTCTGGACCCAGTCCCTCCTCCAAGGCAGCTGCCTCTTCTCTCCATTAGCCTCGGCAGCTGGCCTCACATCTGTCCTCAGAAGCAAAGGCCCCACTTCTGGCCTCTGACTCCCAAGACTGGATTTATTCTCATAACACATACCCATCTTGATGAGAATTCTATCATGTTTCCTCTACCTTAGAAAACAGCTCTAACTGGCCTTACGGCCCCCTTTCAACCACAGCTCCTTCATGCCTGACTCTTCATCTGTCCCCAGCTGGTCCATGGGCTTCTATAATGACCTCACCCCCCCCCCCCCGCATCACGGGGAACGCTTAAGTGACACAAGCTGGCACACCAGGCTGCTTCTTCCTTCTGGCCACAGTGATTTGATCATGGATGAATACAGGGCCTACAGCTAGACAATCAGAGCCAAAGAGGCTTTTGTTAACACTTGGGAAAGAGAAATTCTGTGTGGGGAGGTCCCACATGGAGATAGCTTGCCTGTGAGTGAAACTGACAGAGGCCAGGAGAAGTATGACAGAGGAGAGATGAGTCCTGAGGACACTACAGGAGGCCCTGGGTCCAGCCATGTCTGAAGCTAGTAGATCACCATGGGACTTTTTCAGTAAATTCTCCTCCCTTGGCAATCACAATTGAGAGTCCCAACTAACTTGCTGATCACAAATGCAGGATTTTTAGAATTATCTGTAAGCCCTCTCTGCCCCGTCCTCTATGATATAAACTGACTTCATCCCAAGGTGTGAAACGTATGACAGACTCGCTTTCATCTCGTGAGCTCTACAACTATCTCCTCGGCATCTCTATCAGTTTCCTGTTGCTGCTGTAACAAATGACCACAACAGTGGCTAAAAATAGTATGTATTTGCTTTCTTGTGATTATAGAGATCAGAAGTCTGACACCAGCCTCACTGGGCTAAAATCAAGGTGTTGGCAGGGCTACCATCCTTTTGGAAGCTCTGGGGAAAAATGTATTCCTCACCTTTCCAGTTTCTGGAGGCCACCTAAAATACTTGGCTTCTGGCCCTTTCTCATGTCACCCCACTTCGGGGGTCATATGTCTTCTCCACCCTTAATGTTCACGACTGCCTCTCTATAGGTACCCTTGTGATTGCATTTGGGTCCACCTAAGTAATCCAGGAAAATCTCCTCGTCTCAAGACCCTCGGTTTAGTCAATGGCATCTGAAAAATCACTCTCAGTGTGTGAGGTTATATGTTCAGTGTCCGTGTTCCATGGAACTCAGCCGGACAGAAATCAAGTTTCATGCCATCTTACCCCCAAATGCACCCTACACATGTACTCCCATCTCCGCTCCCCACCACTGTCACTCCTGCCCTAGCCACCACACCGCGTGGAGGGCACAGTGATAGCTCTGGGTGGCCAATCTGCTTCTCATTTTGACCTTCTCTGTCCACCATCCAGAGCAAGCTGCCACCTGGTAGGTCTTTAAAACGCAGTCAGACCATGCCGCATGTCTCTAGGGAGAGTTCATGGATTGGTTCCCACTGCTTTAGAGTGACACTTCTCGTTGCTTTAGGACAACATAAAAAATCTCTTCAAGGGGCCTGCCAGCCCTGCCTCTGCTCCCTTCTACTAAAGACCTACCCAATTTCTCTCTAATTTTGGATTATACTGTTACTGCTCCCATTTTGGCCCTTCACAGGTGATGCTCCCCTGCCTGGAACACCCTGCCCACTTCTTTTTTTTTCTTTTTTTTTCTTAAAGATTTATTTATTTGGGGGGCGCCTGGGAGGCTCAGTGGGTTAAAGCCTCTGCCTTCGGCTCAGGTCATGGTCCCAGGGTCCTGGGATCAAGCCCCGCATTGGGCTCTCTGCTCAGCGGGGAGTCTGCTTCCCCCTCTCTCTCTGCCTGCTTCTCTGCCTACTTGTGATCTCTGTCTGTGAAATAAATAAATAAAATCTTAAAAAAAAAGATTTAGGGGCACCTGGGTGGCTCAGAGGGTTGGGGCTCTGCCTTCGGCTCAGGTCATGATCTCAGGGTCTTGGGATCGAGCCCCGCATCAGGGAGCCTGCTTCCTCCTCTCTCTCTGCCTGTCTCTCTGCCTACTTGTGATCTCTGTCAAATAAATGGATGGAATCTTAAAAAAAAAAAAAAAAAAAGATTTATTTATTTGGGAGAGAGAGATAATTGGGGGAGGGGTAAAGGGGAGCTTGAGAGGGAGAGAAGCAGACTCCCTGATGAGCATGGAGCCTGCCTTGGGGCTCAATCTCTCGACCTGAGCTGAAATCAACAGTCAGCCACTTAACCAACTGAGCCACCCAGGTGCCCCTTCCTGCCCACTTCTGAGTTCCACTCCACACCAGGTGTTGGCTATAGCAGTTTGCCTCCTGGAGCTCCGCCGGCACCCTTGAGTTCTTCTCAACCCCGTATTTGTCACATGCATATTTGTCAAATTCCCATCAGTCCTGCTGGACCTAAGGCTTACTGAGCTCATGAGTCTGAGTCCTGTCTGTCTTGGTTACCACTTTATCCACAGCCCCCACTGAGCGCACGACATCAGACAGCACTCTGGAAGGGTGTCTGGATGGCTCAGTTGGTAGAGCATGTCACTCTTGATCTGGGGGCTGTAAGTTCAAACCTCATGTGGGGTGCAGAAATTACCTAAAAAAATAAAATCTTAAAAAAAAGTGCATTCGGGGCACCTGGGTGGCTCAGTGGGTTAAGCCTCTGCCTTTGGCTCAGGTCATGATCCCGGGGTCATGGGATCGAGCCCCACATCGGGTTCTCTGCTCAGCAGGGAAACTGCTTCCTTTCCTCTCTCTCTGCCTGCCTCTCTGCCTACTTGTGATCTCTCTCTGTCAAATAAATAAATAAAAATCTTAAAAAAAAAAAGTGCATTCTTGGAGTATACCTACGTGATTAAAATCACATTTTCTATTAGCTTGTAGTACAGAAGAGATCCCAAAAGGACGAAAATGAAGGCTTTAACTGTAAGCTTCTCTCAGAAGCCTCGGGAGGTCTGGTTAAAGAGTGTAGCCCCAGAGCCTACCCAAAGGTTTCGGTAGCTGTGAAGTGCAGCCCGAGACTCTCCATTTCCACAGAGAGTTCCAGGGATAAGGCCATTCTCAGATTCCCTGACCTAGAGACTACGGTAGGTACTTCAGCAAGGAAGCATCTAAAACTCTGACTCGGAAACATGTTCGGGAGGCAGATGACCTTGGCCTAAATGGAAACAGCATGACCTTTCCCCAAGCTCTCCCAGGAAGCCTGAGTTCCTCCTCTCCCCATCCTCCAGGATGCCCCCACAGGAGTGTCTCTCTCTACCCCTCCATTGCACTTACTTTCCTCCTCAGACATCCAGGTTACATCCTCCACCAGGGACACTGCCTCCTGGCAGTCCTCTGGGTGCTGCGACTCCACCCACATCCGGAGCTTCCTGGGCAGTGAGCCCAGGAACTGCTCCAGCACCAGCAGCTCCAGCATCTGCTCCTTGGAGTGCGCCTCGGGCTGCAGCCACTGGCGGCACAGCTCACGCAGCCGGGCCAGGGCCTCTCGGGGCCCCGCCACCTCCTCAAAGCAAAAGCCCCGGAACCTCTGGCGCGCGGCCTCAGGGTCAGCTGGCTGCTTGCCTAGCTGTTGAGTGGGCTCCCCAAGCACATCTGGGCTCAGGCCCTCATCTTCGGCATAGAGGGCCCGGATCTGGGCGTTTCGGGGACGAGCTACCTCTTGGTTCAGTGTGAGGACTTCAACGACTTCAATCTTCATCAGGGGATTCCCAGCAGGAAGAGGATCCAACTGAGGGTCCAGTGGAGCTGTAGGATACTCTGTGAGTCAAAAAAGCACAGCCAGTCAGATGGCCAACAAGCACATCAACATTATCTGCCACCAGAGAAATGTAAATCCAAACCACTGTGAGATACTACCTCACACTCACGAGGAAGGCTATTATCAGGGATGAATGGTAACAACTGTTGGTGACTATGTGGAGAAATCGCTGCTGGTGGGAACACAGAATGTTGCACCATTCTGCAAAACAGCCTGCCAGCTCCTCGAAAAGTTAAACAGACTTACGTTATGACCCAGGAATTCTCCTAGATATACCTCCCAGAGAAAAGAAAAGAGAAGTCAACACCAACACTTGTAGAGGAATGTTCACAGCAGCACTATTCATAAGTGCCCAAACCAGAAACAACTCAAAATGTCCAAATGAAGAATGGATAAACCAAATGTGGTATACCCACACAATGGAATATTATTTTGCAGTAAAAAGGAATAAAGTACTGACACAGGCTACAGTACGGCTGAAACTTGACAACATTATGCTGAGTGCAAGAAGTCAAACACCAAAGGCTACCTATGGTATGACTGCATTTACATGAAATGTCCAGAAGAAACCAACACAGACACAAAATAGATTAGTGGTTCCCAGGAAATAGGGAATTGAGGCAGTTGGGGAGTGTTGGCTAATAAAAATGATTTTTTGGAGGATGAGGAAAATGTTTTGAAATTAGACTGCAGTGATGGCTACGGAACCCTGTGAATATAACGAAAATCACTGAACATACACTCTCAAAAGGTGAACTTCATGGTATATAAATTATATTCCAATACAGAGTGGGGGAAAAAAGGAAGAGGCAAGAAAGATTAAGAGACCTGTGATGCTGTATAAGTCTGCAGCCATGCACAGGGAACAGAATCTGATCCTGCCTCCATGGGGGCCAAGATGACTGGGAAAGTCAGGGGCTCTGTCTTGGCACAGAGTTTACAAGAGCATCTGCTGAACACTGAACAGAACTCCAGCATGGCCCTAAAATACTAAGGAGGAAACATGAGCCAACAGGAAATAAGAAAGCTCTCTACAACTCCCAGGAAGAAATGCTAATTGACTAAAGGACTTAAAAGCTTTAAGAAAGAAAAAAAAGTTAATAGAAAAAATTTAACCACGGATTATAATTTACTTTCATTAGATTTATGATTCTATAAACAGAAATGGCAGGGCTGATGTCTAGAAAAAAATGTACCCTCTCACCCTTGCTGTTTTCAATACACATGATTAGCACAACTCTACCTGGAACAATGTGGACTCAAAGCCTTAGCAACAAATGCCCAGGGGAAGGCTGGGGGACTTTCATCAGATAAATCTACTGGTGGTCCGGGAGCTTTCTGAAGAGAAACACAGATGTAAAGACACCAAGAGGAGCGCCTGGGCGGCTCAGCGGGTTAAGCCTCTGCCTTGGATCATCGGGCTCTCTGCTCAGCGGGGAGCCTGCTTCCTGCCCCCCATCCCCGCCGCTCTCTGCCTGCCTCTCCGCCTACTTGTGATCTCTGTCAAATAAATAAAATCTTGAAGAAGAAGAAGAAAAAAAAAAAAGACACGAAGAGAATGAGTATTCAGAGCGAGTGACACTGGAACCCGTGTCAACAAGCCCAGACCACCAGAGCCTGTGTCACGACTGCCAGTGTCTCCTTCTGCCCTCCAGGGAGAACCTTCCTTTCTTGCTGCAACTCTCCCCAGTCCCTGCCTCCTTCGCAGCGGGCTCCCAGAAGACAGCCTCTGCCCACCCTCCCCTGGGGGGTCCTTACTGCACAACACATCGCTGAGCAAGAGCACACGACAGATCAGAACTGGAAAACAGGCGGTGTTAAAACAGGGCTCAAGAAAACTGTGGATTCACGTGCAAGCGTTATTTTAGTGTGACTCTTCCAGCGCAGAAAAGCTGCTGCCACGGGAAGCAAAAAAGAGCAGGGAGCTACTGGTACGGAGTCACTGCAGCTGTGTTATTCAAAAAGAAAAAGAGAAAGAACCACCGACTCGTCAAAGACGGGAACAGCGGCTGCCTGTCCAGGCGCAGCCAGTTCCCCGCCCCGCGCGAGCGCCTGCAGATCAAATCTGCCATCAAGCAACTTTTCAAGCGGCGCTGGGCGGCTGGGCTTCCCCGTTGGCGGGGAAGAGGCTCCCGCGGAGGCCGCAGCCACAAGCATACATTTCCGCTCGCTTTGGGGAGACTGAAGCAGCCTCCCTCCCCCACCCCCGTGAAACGCGGGGACACCATGTCAGCACAGCCACGCCCCCCCCCCCCCCCCCGGTCTGGAGGACCGCAGGCCGCAACTTCCGGCCGGGCCCAGAAGTGCGTCACTCGCCCGACACGGGCGCACTACAGCTCCCAGGAGCCTCCGCGACATAGACCTCCGGTGCCGCCATTTTGGGGTTCTGGGCCCGGCCCAAGCCCTGCCCGGGCGGCGGCTCCTTGGGGCTGCGGCCTCTTCCGCTCTGGTCCCTCCTACGACCCCCCGCGAGGGCGGACGCAGCTGGAACTTCCACACCCGCCTTGCTGGTTTGCGCTTTTTCCCCCCTTGGGGCCAGTGTGGGAGAACGCGGTCGCTTCCACTTAAGGCAGCGACGCACCCGGACTCCTAGTCCATCTTCGTGCCCGTGATTCGAAATCCTTCCCGTTCCCGTAGGGCTTCCCACCCCCCAACCCCTCCAAATTCCTGATGACAAGCCTTGGCTCTCCTGTGTGTTCCCCGGTTTCACAAACCTGTTGCTGGAGACTGCTGGCGCGCTATCCGAGAAGTGAGTCAGCGCGAGGTCAGGAGTCTCTCGCGATGGGTGGGGCCGCGCCCGCCGCCCAGGACGGGCCTTGGGCGCTTGAGGTTGCAAAACCCGTCCTGGGCCGCGCTTTTAATCTGGGCCACAGCCACATCCACATCATTTCCTAGGTTTATGTCCCTTTTCAGACCCCTTCCCCTAAACTTCTGTATTAATTTCATCGGGGGGCTTCCCTTTCCAACTCGTTTGCACCTGCATTGTGTCTGGCGTTTAATTACTTTCCTGTGCTCAGGACTTATGTTGGCTCACTACCCCAACCCCAACTCCTGATTTGAAGGCAGAGTTCACGTATTCCCTTTCAGTTAGAGCTCTTAGAGCCTGAAATTTCCCTAGAGTAACTCAGGAAGCCAGGGACGAAGTTCCCGAATTCCCAGCAGCCCTGGACCTTGAAAGTGCCCCTGATACGGGATATTGGGGCGCGAGGGGAGGTAGCGCTCCCTAGCGGCTCCTTGCTGGGCCACGGGTACCACTTTGAGCAATAATCGTGCATTAGACTTGAACAAAACAAAAACAAAACTTCATTCTTCACAATGCTTCCCAGCTTTCCAACTTCTAAAACTTGTTTTACTCCTTGGTTAACCACAGGGCTTATTTAGTACTTTGTCTCTTAACTGTAGATTTTTATTTCACTCCATGCCCCGTATTTCTTCTCTAATCCTAATCATGAATTTTGTTCCTCCTCTTATCTTTGGAGGCACCATGGCAATTTCTCCAGATCTTGAACTCAGTGCTCATTCAAAAATGTTTAACTCTTGCCGTTTTAAGTTTTAGAGCCTGTAGGTTTGTACGTTGGGAACTGTGCTGATCCTTGTGGTGCCGAGAGCTCAGTGCATCTGCAGCCTGGCTCTCACGGCTGTAGCCGCGCTTCAGGACAGCACATTCTGCAGGGTAATCATAGAGCACCGACTGGGTGCTACGCAGTAAATGAGACGGGCCTCAAGCCTGGAGGCTGGTGGGTACGCATCCTTCTAGGCACTGCAGTCCTCCGAATCTCATCCTTTAGACCGTCCCTCAACCACTGCTTCTGCCAGGAAGTGTTCGTCCCACTTCACAAAGTGAAACCTCTTAAGTTTACCAACCGGCAGAGCTAGAATTGGATCCTTAACTCACTGGGGCATAGTGGGACTCACTAACCCGCTCGTCTGCGTGGGGCTACCTGAAACAGTCTATCCACTGCAGCTCCAAGAACTGGTTTCCAGTCCCCCAGCTGAATGATCTGGGCTGGGGATTTGAGTAATTTAGTCCCCTCACTTGCAACTAACTATTTAGTGAGTTGTTTACAAATTCCCAAGCCTTTAGGCAAGGTGCTTAATCCTTTTTAACTTATTAGAGACACAAGTGATTAGGTATAGTATGTAGGAAAGGCTGATGGGAGCTGCTGTTTTCTTCGTCCTTAATTTTCTTCTCCCATGTTGTCTTTGCTGCTTCCCTTCCAGGGTAAGCCATCTCTCCCTCAGTGCTCAAGAGTTCATGACTAATCTGGTATCCTAAGGCTACCAGTCCACAAATATAACAGTAACTAATAGTGACTTCACACACTTGCTGGGGGTCAGGGTCAGGAAGAGTGCTTATCTCAGCTCCCCTCATCTCTGTGCACTCCCCTGTTCCTTTTCCTCCTTGTCCAGAATGTTCCCTGTTCATCATCCTTTCTCCTCCCCTCCCCATCATTCACTCTTCAGCTCTGCTGGGCACCCCATGCCATCACCTAAGTTTGTCTACCCCACTGGACTGCTGAGGATGTCAACCGGGTCTTGTGCCTTCAAAACCCTAAAGCCAGGCTCAGAGGACCTCCCAAAGGTGTTGATGATCTTCTTTACATCAAAGTCTTTGAGTAACAGTAATTACTGTTATATGAAGGTCTCCAAGACCTAGGCTTTACATACCATAATCCCATAAGCAATAACATCCGTCCTTCACACAAGGGGAAATCCATGCTGGGAGAGTCTAGGAGCCCTGCCCAGGTCACAACTGGGAACATAGCAGCTGGGATCCAAACCCTGTTCTTTTATGCCCTTTATAGCAAAGGGTGCTTCTCACAACGTGCCAAAGTATGCTTTGTCTATAGGTATTTGTACTCCCCTCATCCCTGCCTTGTAGTCTTTCTGACATCTTCACCTGGCAGCCCTTCCAGTTCTTAAGTATCACCTCCTCAGAACTGTCTTCCTGCCCAGTTCTGAAGTAGTTCTGCCTACCCATGCCACTTCCCTCCAGCAT